CTTCCAAAACAGATCTATTGGTTCTTTTGGCAGCCCATGGCACTTTCAATATTCTCCTCCAACACCATAACTCAAAAGCATCAATTCTTCTATGGTCTTCCTTATTCACTGTCCAGCTTTCGCATGCATATGAGGTTATTGAAAATACCATGGCTTGGGTCAGGTGCACCTTTGTCCTCAAGCTGACATCTTTGCTCTTCAACACTTTAAAAAGGTGTTGTGCAGCAGATTTGCCTAATACAATACGTCCTCTGATTTCTTGACTGATGCTTCTGTGAGTGTTGACAGTTGATCCAAGAAGAATGAAGTCCTTGACAACTTCAATCTTTTCTCCATTGATAAGAATGTTGTTTATTGGTCCAGTGGTGAGGATTTTTGTTTTCTTTACATTGAGATGCATTCCATACTGAAGGCTGTGCTCTTTGATCTTCATCAGTAAATATTTTAAGTCCTCTTCATTTTCAGCAAGCAAGGTTGTATCATCTGCATATCGCAGGTTGTTAATAAGACTTCCTCCAATCCTGATGCCACGTTTTTCTTCATAGAACCCAGCTTTTCAGATCTTTCAAGATGGTGCATCGGGTAGAAGTGCAGTAAGGAGCTCTGTCCACAACACAGAATACCAGACCGAGCAGGCTCAGGGGATAGTGATAGAACTCTGAACCACATATAAAGGAATAGAAGCTTCGAAGGCTTACAGCTAGGGGAATTTGTAGCAGAGTCAAGAAACCTATTGCTTTCTAATTCAAGATGCTCAGCTGCTCCCAGAGCCACCATCTTGGGAGAAACCAAGAGGGGAAGGATCAGAAGAGCCACAAACACCTGACAGAACCGCGGAGATACAGGTGTGGACATTCCTTTTTTTGGTATCTGTTCATTGGTCTCTCACTGTCTGTGCACCTCCATTCTGGTGACTAGAGGGAATGCCTGAGCGAAAGGACACCCCGACCCCTCCCCTGGATGGTTCTACTACGCATGTGCACAGATCTTCTCCAAATTTAAAGTGACAGTTTCCACTTAAAACCAAATGGCCACCACTCATCTGTCAGTTTGTCATACTGTGGTGGCTTGTGAGTTGCTATGATTCTGAAAGCTATGCCACCAGCAGGGTCGCCCATGGTGGACAGGTTTCAGATGAGCTTCCAGACAAAGACAGACTAGGAAGAAAGAGTGACAAAGTACTTCCGAATATTTGGTCACTGAAAACCTTATGAAATAGCAGATAAACATGGTCAGATATAGTGCCAGAAAATGAGCTCCTCAGGTTTGAAGGCACTCAAAATGCGACTGGGGAAGAGCTGCCTCCTCAAAGTAGAGTTGACCATGATAACGCGAAGGGATCAAAGCTCGTGGGAGAAAAGCCCACGTCTGGGACCTTCATTTGCTGATGGGGCACAACTCAAAATGAAGAGTAACAGCTGTAAACATCCACTGAAAATCGGAACATGGAATGTACGAAGTATGAATCTGGGAAAATTGGAAGTTGTAAAAAATGAAATGGAATGCATAAACATTGATATCTTAGGCAGTAGTGAGCTGAATGGACTGGTATTGGCCATTTTGAATCTGACAACCACATGGTTTACAATGCCAGGAATGACAAATTGAAGAGGAATGGTGTTGCATATCCAGATCAGTCATGAGGTACAACGCTGTTTGTGATGAGCTTTAAAGGGGCATAAATTGCTGATACCTGGCTAACACATTCAGCACTTGGTGGTGCCCATAAACATGGGCTTGAAGACTATTGAGGTTTCCATACTAATTACCAGGTGAGATAGTGTTTGTCAGGTGTCTTTAGTAGAGCCACTCGTTTACTCCCTTTCCATGCTGCATCTTTGGAAGAAACTCATTATGCACAACCCATACCTAAGGAGTGACAAGTTAAGCTCCAGCTTCTTGAGGGCAGAGTATTTACATAAAGTATTTGGAATATTTTTTCTATTTTCTTGCGTTCATTAATTTATTATTTATTTTATGCCGGTATGGACTCATGAATACTTATTTTATATTTTGGGTTATAACCTGATGTTGTTGTTGTTAAGTGCCATCAAGTTGGTTCTGACTCACAGAGACCCTTTGTAGGGTTCAAGGTTGTAAATCTTTGTGGGAGCAGAAAGCCTCAGCTTTCTCCCATAGAGTGGGCTTAAATTTCCAACCTTGTGGTTCGCAGTCCAATGCTTATCGTATGGAGCTACTGCACTCTCTCTATGTAATCCAATACTATTTTATTTTTGTTGTTGTTTCTCAAGTTGTTCCAGCTTTGGCCAGCATTTTCAGTTGTCTCCTCTGTCTCTTTAACATATTTCTGTCTTGTTTTTTAAGCACATCCTTGTTTTCAAGAACCAAAAAACTCTTCAGACTCATCTTGCCTATTCTCTTGAATCAGTCATTTCTCCAAGGATCCCTGGTTTACCTTATGGAAGAATGGTACTTGAAGCTAAGATCTGGGTGTGTTCATTATTACTTCTAGGCCCTTCTCACTAACAGAAAATACATGTATGTATATTAACCATGTATATGCACATATTTACAAGTCATTTCTATGTGAACCATCTGTATCTATATTCAGCTAAATAAGAGACCCCATTGGTGTTTCCAATTTGAATCCACTCCATATGGATTATTCTAGCCTCTTCTCTTTATCTCTCAACTCTCACCAATAGTGAGGAACCTGAAATCCACTGCTCACGGTCCATTTTCCTAATTGTTCAATTCCAGTATATATGTGCAGTGGTCTCAGAATTATTAACTCATACCCCTGTAGGAAACAACTATCAACGAAAGTACACTGTTTATATTATAGTTCCTTTTACATTTAGTTTTACAGATTCCATTTATTTCCAAAGTTATTAAGGACTACATCTTTTCTCCTACCACTTTCAGTGAGGAGTTTTCTTAATTTATAATATATTTTGTCACAGTCTCCATTTCATCTTGGACTCAGCAACCTCCTAAAAGAGTTTTAAGCTGCATACATTAAGCTTCACCTCTTTGTGCTGAAAAGTTCTATGGATTTTGACAAACGCATAGTGATAATGTACCCATCATTTCAGTACCATATGGAATAGTTCCACCACCCTAAAATATCCTGTGCTTTGCCAATTCAACCCTCCTTCCCCACTAAATCCTTAGCCATCATTAACCTTTTTTTTTCTTTTTTTTAACTTAGCCTCTTAGGCTAAACAAAGAGACCTGGTGTGGTACTGTAGGTTAAGAACTGGATTGCTAACCACAAGGTCAATGGTTCAAACCCATCAGTTGCTCCTCAAAGACCCTACATGGGGTACCTATGAGTCAGAACTGACTTTAGGGCACTAACAAGAAGAAGCAAGAAGCAACATGTGTCACTTATTAATTGACCTCTCTTACCAAGGAGCTCTGGTAGCGTAGTGGTTACGAATCGGGCTGCAAACCTTAAGGTCAGCGGTTCGAAACTACCAGCCGCTCCGCGGGAGAAAGATGAGGCTTTCTACTCCCGTAAAGATTTACACCCTCGGAAACCCTGTACAGGGTCGCTATGGGTCGGACCCGACTCGATGGCACTTAACAACAACAACAACAACCTACCATGTAAGCAGCCAACTATTGTTATGATGTTGTTGTTGTTGTTAAGTGCTGTCAAGTCGGTTACGACCCATAGCCCCCTGTACAGGGTTTCCGAGGCTGTAAATCTTTACGAGAGCAGAAAGCCTCATCTTCTGCAGAGCGGCTGGTAGTTTCGAACTGTTGACCTTAAGGTTCACAGCCCGACTTGTAACCACGACGCTACTATTGTTATGATAACTACTGTAAAAGTTAAAAAAAAATAAAAGTTTTATTGCTAAAAGAAAACGTTCTATGATGGTTACCAGGGTAAGTGGGAAGAAAGAATTATTGGCTGGCTAGAGGGTATATGCATGCTAACTTGCTAACTTGGGTGACGGTGAAAAATGAAAGTAAGGGGAAAATAGAAAGATTTCAGCCTTAGAAACCCTACTCTGGCCTCTAAGGTCGCTATGAGTCAGAATCAACTCAACAGCAAGGGTGATAGTGTTACTGAGGAATGTGAACTTTACCCTGAAGATAATGTACAGCCATTAGAGGTTCTCAAACCTAGACAGATTCTTTAGGAGGCAGAGGCCTCACCCAAAATAAGGATGGAAAGGAGAGGGTGAAGAGAAAAGACACTCTAAGGAAAAAATAAAAGCAAATGGAAGACGCAAATTAATCTGTTTCTGTCTCTATATATGATTTTGTCTTTTCCAGGCTGTCATATAAATGAAGTCATACAGTGTGCAACATTTTCAGACTGAATTATTTCACTTTGCAATATATTCATATATTTAGATTCACGCCTGTATTTGCTTAGTTCAATAGCTCATCCATTCCTATCAGTGACTAGTACGCCATGGAGTTTGACTTAAAAAAAATTTTTTTTGGCTTTAAATTGTAGCCCTTTCACCTTAAAACAGAAATATGAATCTATGGGTACTAAGCTGAAGGGCAATCAGAATGATTGAGACCACAACATGGTGAATGTAATTAATATAACGGTACACTTAAAAAACAAAAGATAGCGGTAGGCAAGCACCTTCCTGCTCTGCGTTGGACGAGAGTGCTGGTGCTGGGATCCGTGCGTTGGGCTAGTCTCCGGATGCGCATGCGCAATGGGCGTGGGGAGCGCAGCGTCTCTCCGCTCCCTACCTCCACGAAGGCCTGCTTACAGTTCCTGAGGGAGATGGCGGAGGCCTTACAGTGTCCAGCGTTGGCTGACCATTGACCCCTCTGCCAGTGTCCTAGCAGTGCTCTCTTGTTCCGCCCCAGCCTCCCTTCCTCCTAGCTCCACCTGCAACACAGTTCTAGGGAGCCTGAGAGAGGGCGGAGCCTCCCGCGGTTCAGAAAGGGCCCGCCCCAGGGGCGTGAAGAAGTGACGGGGTGGACTTCGGACTGGGGTCCACATACTGCCCCCTGCCGAGCCGGAGCGGGAGCCAGAACCGGCAGTCTAGTCAGGCGGTGAGGGAGCCATGTCCGCGCCACTGGGTCTCGGGCCAGAAGTGCGGGACACCTGCACATCGCTGGGGCTGATGCTGGCGGTCGTGCTCTCCACGGGACTGGCTCGGGTGGTCGTTCGGCAGCAGCTGCACAGATCCAAGGTCCACGCCTTCGTCTTGGAGTTTCTGGGCACCTTCCAGCTCTGCTGCTGCACTCACGAGCTGCAGCTACTGAGCGAGCAGGACCCCGTGCACCCCACCTGGCCGCTGACGCTTGTCTACTTCTTCTCCTTGGTGCATGGCCTGACTTTGGTGGGCACCGCTAGCAACCCGTGTGTCGTGATGATGCAGATGATGTTGGGGGGAATGTCCCCTGAGATGGGTGCCATGAGTCTCCTGGCCCAGCTGATGAGTGCCCTATGCAGCAGGTACTGCATAGGTGCCCTGTGGAGCCTGGGCCTGACCAAGTATCACATCAGCGAAAGGACCTTAGGTTGCAGGAATCCCATTCACGTCGACTTGGCCAAAGCAGTCATCATAGAGACCATCTGCTCCTTCGTCTTCCACAGCGCCTTGCTCCGCTTCCAGGAGATCCGAACAAAGCTTCGTATCCACCTGCTGGCCGCACTCATCACCTTTTTGGTCTATGCAGGTTTGTTGCTCCCACCAAACACTTGGCACCTCTGAAACCTCTTACGACTTGAGGCTAAAGATTTTACCAAGATAATTTGAAACCCTTCTGTAATGTAAATATTGGTATCTCCAATAGTCTAACCATTTTTTCAGCACACTTTTAACTGATAAGGCTGACATTCAGTAGGATTATGTTATGTATAGGGTTTCCAAGGGTAAGTCATAAATATTGCTACAAGCATGGGTTTATTCCAAACAAAACGCGTTTAAACATGTCTCTGAGATCAGTGGATGGCTGCAGACAAGTTCTCTCAGTAATACACTTCTCTTAGCCTCTTAGGCGCTAACGGTCCCTTCAAAATAAACGTCCAGTCAAAACAATGGCTTCTGAGGGCGTCTGTTGGGCCAGTTAAATTTCAAGGCAGAGAGGTCAGCTCAGAAGGTTATGGCGAATGTTTTTAGGGATCTCAAAGGAGCCATCTTGATACATTTTTCTTAAAGGGCATAAGACAATCATGGGGACTTACTAGAAGTTTTCAGAAAACTGAAAACTGGTGAGAAAAAGGCCAGAAAAGGCGTGCTGAGGAATTTTTTTTGCAACACTATAATGCATCTGCTCATTGTTTGAGGGTAGCAAGGGCGATCCTATGCGAATTTCCTTGTGAAACTTTACTCCAACTACTCTCCAGCCCTTCAGACTTCTTTTTTTTCCCTAATCGCAAAGAACATTTGAAAGGAACACGATTTGAGAATGTCAGAACTGTTGTTTTGACAAAGTATAAATGGAAAAGTGCAGATTCTTCAGGAAGGGTTAGAGATGGAACCACCTTCACAAATGTAGGGACCTAGATGGAGGACATGTTCAGAAACAATGGCTTCACATTTTGAAATTTTACTTAATTTTTCTATTAGTTTGTAGCAATATTTTTTGTCTGGCCTTCATAGCTCCCTCATTCAGTGCCAAAGAAAGGAACCACTTCTGTGCTGAAACTGAGATCTCATGAAGTATTGCCAAGGGTTCAAATATCCTACAAAGGGATTGTCTTAATAGTAAAGAGAAGATAACTTATCAGCTACCTTGTTCCTCATGCCAACATGATGTGGATCCCTTCTGACACTCACTGAAAAATGATCCTGAGGGTAAAAAGTTCCTTTCAACTTAAAGCACACGGCAGATGACTGTGTTACTAGTAAGCATTGAGAATTAAAATTTTGTAGTTCCATTTAGTTCTTGTTTATACAAAAAATTAAAGTTATTTCTTATTTACTTAATAATTCATTTTGAATTATAAACAGACTTTTCAATGGCCTATCATGAAGTATGTATTTTGAAATTAAAACTGGTTTGAAAGTAATGATGTTTGTAAAAATCAAATAACTCAAGAAACCTGTTAATTTTTAGAAAACTATTTGCTTACAAATCTCAGAAGCAGTGAGTAATCTGTATAGTCCCCAACAAAGGAAAAACACCCCCTACTGAATTGATTCCAACTCATAGGAACCATAAAGTTATGTTGTTGTTGTTAAGTGTCGTCAAGTCAGTTTCCATCCATAGTGACCCTTAACAGGGTTTCTGAGGAGCAGCTGGTGAGCTTGACCTTGCAGTTCATACAGACTTTGTAGCTCAGGGCATTAACTCACAGGGCTACACCAGGAATCCATAAAGTTATAAGTAGAAACAAATCTTAAGACTCCTAATTGATATACTTGGATCCCCTACAGTAAAAATGAAAGACTTCCCAATCCACTTTTCCTTCTCTAGAGCTAGTACTATTCTTGTAGTAGACAGAAATGGAAATAAATGGTATTGGAGAGAAGGAAGGGTATATGTATTTTGAGGTTGGGGGTGTAGTTGCTTATTTAGTTATTAAAAGTTTTAGGTTTTGGCTAAAGCAGAAACATCTCCTGTATTTGAACAGAATCATCCCTGGTAAAAAGAATTATGCAGCAGTTAAGTTTTATATTTATATAATTAAAAGCAATAAAATATTTAAAGATTTTAAAAAATTAATAAAATTTTTCATATAGTTGGCTCTCTTTCTGTACCTATGTGTCTCTTTCCTCCCTTCATTTTCTTGACACTGGTCATTATTCTTCCTGTCTGTTTTAATATATACTTATGATTCAATAAATAATATTATGTGTAATATTAGTCCGTCTATTTTATAAGTGACAAAGATTATTGAGAAGGGAAATCACAAGTTATAGATAATATAATGTTAGTGCAAAAAATCCATAAAATATTAAAGTATTTGTCCTTACCTTCACATTATAGAAATTTGAAGTCCTTGAAATGAAGGTACAATTGGTGGGGGAAAGAGAAGAGAGTAAGGAATCACTAAATGAGTGGTCTCAACCTTCCACCTGCTTTAGAATCAGATCACCTGGGGAACTTCTTTTACACACCTGAGCAGAGATTAAGATATAATTATTCTGAAAAGGAGTTTACCAGTTAATTCTTGGACTCCAACTCATGGTGCCCCCAGATGTGTCAGAGTAGAACTGTGTTCCATAGGGTTTTTTGTAAATTTATTCTCCAGAATAGACAATGTCTATTCTGGAGAATGTTCCATGTACACTGGAAAAGAATGTGCATTGTGCTGTTGTTGGGTTGAATGCTCTGTACACATCTATGAGGTCCAGTTAGCTGATTTTGTTGTTTAGTTCTTCTGTGTCTTTGTCAAGTTTCTTTCTGGTTGTTCTATCCATTTTTGAAAGTGGTATATTAAAATCACCCACTATTATTGTAGATTCATCTTATTTCTTTCTTCAAATCTATTAGAGTTTGCTTTATATATTATGGAGTTCTTTCAGTGGAAGTATATTTATTATGGTTATGTCATCTTGTTCAATTGTCCCTGTAATCATGAGATAATGTCCATCTTTATCTATTATGCTGGTTTTTGCCTTAAAGTTTATTGTATCAGAGATGAGTACTGCCACTCCTGTTCATTTTTTATTACAATTAGCTTGGTGTATTTTTTTTCCCCCATCCTTTGACTTTTAATCTGTTTTTGTCTCTGTGTGTGAGATGTGTCTCTTGCAGACACAGCCTATTGAAGGATCTTGTTTTCTTATTCATTCTGCCACGCTCTGTCTTTTAACAGGTGCATTTAATCCGTTTACATTCAGTGTAATTATCGATAGGTATGGATTAATTGCTGCCATTATGTTTGTTTGTTTTTTGTGGTGTTGCTTTGTTTGTGTGTCTTCGTTGAGCTCATGCTTTTTGTGTTCTTTCTTGTGAGTTTCCTCACAGTTTTCATGTTCTTCTTGGATTTTCATTTACTTGGTATGTTGTGAAGTGTTCATTTTCTTTGAGGTTGCCTTATAGTCCATTAACTTTTCTCTCCATTTAATGCAGTCTATTTTATCCTGTAATCTACCTGACCATCTCACCATCTGGATCTCTGTTCCTACATGTTTACCTTCTGCTACATTGTAATTATTTTGATCATAGACTGGCCTCCCAGATTCTCTGTGTTTGTTCTTATAATTTTGTTCTATTCTTGACTCTTCCTTCTGTTGATTTAATTCTGGAGGTGCTGCCACGTATGTCAATCTCTGGTTGTTGTCTGTTCTTGGGTTCTCAGTCCACAGAACTCCCTTTAGGATGTTTAGTAATGCAGGATTGGCTTTGGAAAAATCCCTTAGTTTCTGTTTATCCTTGAATGTTTTGATTATACTGTCATATTTGATTGATAGCTTTGCTGGATAAATGATTCTTGGTTGGCAGTTTTTTTTTCTTTCAGGGTTTTATATATGTCTTCCCATTGCCTTCTTGCTTGCATGGATTCTGCTGAGAGATCAGAGCTTAATCTGACTTGCTTGCCTTTGTATGTGACACTCCTCTTTTCTCTAGCTGCTGTCAGAAGTGTCTCCTTACCTTTGATTTTGGAGAGCTTGATTATATGTCTTCGTGATTTTCTTTTGGGGTCTATCCTTCCTGGGATTCTTTGAGCTTCTTGAATGTTTCTTTTCACTTTTCAGGATGTTAGAGAAAATTTTTTTCCAGCAGTTCTTCAACTATTTCCTCTGTGGACTTATGTGATTTCTTCTTGTTCTGGAATGCCAATAATTCTTAAGTTATTCCTCTTCATGTTGTCCA